CCTCTATATAAAGCTTATAATAATGTAATATCAATGAAGGTCACCCTGACTTGAGGAAAGACCCAACATCAATGGTTAGATTTTCGAAAATCACTTTGTCCATGCACTGATCCATATTTATGTTAAGTTTCAGTCATGTATATGTAAGTCGTCTGTCTGAACCGTTTACATATATCCCAACATTTACCAAATAATATGGCATATTGACATACTGATCTAGATGATGTTTAACGTCTACTTCCACGACAGTATAGAAATGAAATGAAATGAAATGGAGTTTAACGTCCTACTGTTCTGCTCCTAACCTGGGCTAATGAAGACGGGCATACGCCATACAGTGTGCTATGAGGGAAATTTTGCCCGGACAGCGGCACTACGGCCTACTCTTATATCGAATTCCAACTGCCAAGGGATCTTTTACGTGCACGCCAATGTGTACACGGGACCTCGGTTTTTCGTCCCATCCGAACGACTAGACAGCTTTCCTTGTCAGCCCCTCCGTCCTGCATCACTGACAAGGGAGAGCCACGCCGGAAAATCTGACGACAGTATAGACAAAGTATTTTTTTATATGACTTTGAATTCGAATGTAGTTCAAATTACACAACTACACAATAAATCGTGACTGATGTATTGCTAATGAATAGTTTTTTTGTAACACCCTTTAGATTATATATTTTAGCACGTTGTACAAAAAATATGTAATTTTGCATTGTGGCTTACTTATAGAAGAAAAACTAACCCATGCTCGTTGGCAAACTTCGGCATATAGTAATTCATGCAATAGGAAATGTACATTGATTATTAGCAGCTTATATTTAATACACACTCTAACATTTTACGTTCTAATCTACCAACATTTAAAAACGTAATAATATCACTATAGACATAGTCATAGAATGGTTCACATTTTGTTGTATTTCTATGTTCTGTCATGGAATATTTCAAAATGTGTGCACTGGTGTAAATTTAGACAATATATAGGTGTACAGAAAAGTACTGGCTAATATTGATTTAATTATGTACCACGTCATATCGCATTGCTCAATTTCTCAATCGCAGTAAAGTCGATGCCAAGTTGCTTGATAATTAGTATTTTGAGACGGTCCCCAGGAAGAGATCGGTAAAGTAATAGCATGTGTCGAGAGCTTTGATGTTTTACGGTATAATATCTCAACCTATTATTATAACAAAGGGTGTGTGATAATATACTTATGTTATAAAATATGTATGTGATCAGTACTAAGGTAGACGGTGCTATTAATTGGCTGAACAAATGGCTTCTATCTCCATGCAGCATGTCGTTCGCCATCTTCACAAAATTGCCACGATGTGTATGATTCGATGTCGCATAGAAGTTTTATTAACTGCATTTAAGGCACCATGTTTCAATAAATTATGGAGAGCAATGGGTGCATAAAACATTATTTTACTACCTGTATGGCAGATACATAATCAAATCGTGTGCCCTATTTATGATTATATTTTTACAGTACGTTTACAACCCAAAGGGGGTTGCAACCTAACAAGAATGAATTTGGGATCTAGTCTGGTCAAAACATTTCAACTCATAACCAGTTAATAACCTAAAACAATTTAAGTAGACAATAAGTGAAATATGCTAGAATTAAAGCTAAATTCACAACAAGGATATTTTTGCATTGTCTTAAATTAAGACAATGCAAAAATATCCTTGTTTTAAAACCTATATTAGGAAAAGCTTATTACTGGCTGCAGCAAATTATGATTGTTTGCAGTTTACATTAGTTTCTTGTGGTTTTCATCTTTAATAAATCGCATTTTTAAAATTATTCTTTATTTTAATCTTTTTCCAAATATATCAGGCCACTACTGTAAACTCAGATTTGTAAAAAAAAAGTGTTTACATCTAATATGTTACATATTGTATTGTTATGTGAATAATGGAGGTAAACGTAAACCTATCCTCGCTCACAGATATTTTGAATCTGCACTTTAGGTCATAAGGTATATCTTTAAGTCAAGTGACGTGGTTTCAGACCCATACCTGTACGTGACAAGGAGTAGGGTCGCCTTCCTCGTCTCGTGGGTTTCTCTCGATCCTCCGGTTTCCTCCCATTGCTAAAGACCATTACGAACAAGCGAATTATTGAAATAAAATTGAACCATGTTAGTCCCGACATGACCTAGTTTGTATTTAGTGGAGGTTACCCCCCCCCCCCCTTTTTTGAACAAGTGTTATTAGTAATGCTTTTTACTAAGTTTTAACGTGGAATCATTGCTCAGTATTTATTAAATTTAAGTATTAAACATTTGTGTTTGTATTAATGAAATATTGTGAAATTGTATAAAATAAAATGATAGACAGCATTGTAAAACACAAGAATAGAATATATTTAGGCGTGTGAACTCCTCAAATAAGAGAGAGAGAGAGAGAGAGAGATGGGTTTAACGTCCACTAGAAACAAACTAGGTCATTTCGGGACTAACATGGTTTAATTTTATTTCAATAATTCGCTTGCTCGTAGAGGTCTTTAGCAGTGGGAGGAAGCCGGAGGACCCGGGGAAAACCCACGAGGTTGGACAGGCGACCCTACTCCTTGTCACGTACAATCGGGTATTCGACCTCAAATAAGAGGTGGTATCAGCCCTGTTACAAAGAGCAAGCATACCATGCCCCCTACACTACTTATAGCTAATTGGAGCGACAGTTATGGCAGGTTTTTGAATTGTGTTGTAGTTTTTTAGTTTAAGATTATGTTCAGAATACCAGTTCATGGTACTGCCAGTACGGTTAGTAAGGTAGGTGGACAGATTCTAAATTCTATACGGTTTACCCCAGCATTGAATTAAATCGAATCCTTGCTATACCCGGATTTGAAATATCATTATACTTCTAATTTCGCTAAAATGCCATATAAGGTAGCAGTCAATGGTTTACACAAAAGAAATCGCATCATTCGAAGAACCAAACACAAATAACACTTCTGCGAACCAAACAAGGAATATTGCTGAATGAAACGGGATTTGAACACAGGATCTCCGCGTTCATGATAATGGTCAAATATATCTTTCGTGTGTAAGCAATATAAACAACTTCTCTGTTTAAACTGAACTTGGATTTGACATCCTATTGTTCTGTACCAACCGGAATAATAGAGACTGGACACATTGTTTAAACAACCTTTTCTCATGTCGCATTTACAAAGTTCTCAAAGCAGGGACAGTAACTCGGTAGTTCACATTTATCCTTATATGACAATTAACCAAATCAAGTTTTGAAAAAAAAATGGTTACTTTTTTTAGTAAACCATTTTCGAGAATTAAATTATATGAAATGGTGTTTAACGCCCGACATTTTTGCGCCAACCGGACTAACGAAGACGGCCAACATTTCCGAACCAAGCGTGATAAACAATTTTTTTCTTCCGCGTTTTCCAAGTTTACAAACAACGGTAATAATTCTGATAATAATCACCATGGTGAACCGGACTCGTGTATATCGGCGATAGCAATCAATATACTACCAAACTCATATTTTAAATATTAGTTAAATGACATGAAAGGGATAAAATAACCGACATTGGGTTACACGGGAAACAGTGTCGTCTTGGTAAAAAAATAAATTGATTACATCTCCCATATATGTATAACATATTTTATAACTGTTCTACAATCTTTGTCAATAATTCGCGGTTCAAGAATTATGTAGATATTGGACATTAATAAGAATAAAAATGTCTTTGAAAATATGTTTACTAAACCTTAGACAGGGGCAAGGGCGTGGATTTGTCATAACTTTTTTTTTTTGGGGGGGGGGGGGAACGAACCCTAGAACCAAAATAATAATTACGAACAGTTTACTGAAAGCTGTAACTAGGTTATTTCCTTTAAGAACTGTCTCTGAGCGGACGATGTCCACTGACAGTTCCTGTCAGGCCTTATAGCTGCAATATGAAAATACGGTACAATACCGCTCTTCCCCACCTGTGTTCTCAGGCTGTTTTAGAACCCTAACCTTCTATGTTTCACCGTGATACTTTATTTTCCGCCAAAAGGAATCATTTATCATTATTTTTGACACAATTATTTTAATAATTCAACACCATTTTGAAGTAGAATTTAGCGATGAAATAACCATGCGGTTTGCGGGTGTCGTAATGGCTGAAACGTATTTTGTGTATGTTTTTAATCGCAGAATTCTACTTGAAAATGTGTTGAGGCATTATAAATGTACGTCAGCTGTGGCAAGAAATGATTCCTTTGGTGAGTAAAGTAAAATCAAGGTGAAAATAGTAGGTAAGGATTCCAAAATAGTCTTAGAACAGATGTGGGGAAGAGCGGTATTTTCATATTGCAGCTATATACGGCCCGATAGGAACTTTCAGTGGACATCGTCCGCTCAGAGACAGTTCCTAAAGGAACTATAAACTGGGGGCAATATGATGGCGATATGTAAAAAAATGACTACCTACAATTAAGGATGAAGATATCGCGAAGATCAGTATCTGTGCCGAGACCCAAGGCAGTGGTCAGATAAACCTGAAAATCTAGCTGTCCTGGCGATCAAAATTATGGGGGGGGGCAGAGACCTATTCGTCTCCCCTTCCGATTCTAAGGCGGGGGGGGGGGGAGAGAAACGTCCCCCCGTCCCCCGAAATCCACGCTCATGGACAGGGGCCGTGTACACGTTGTAATTTTTACTATTATTGGATGTTGCATGAAAGTTTAGAAAATGACAAACAAAATGACATAGGCGACATAAATCAGTAATTCAGACACATAAATTAATCTTTCGGCGACAATTATTTTGTGTTACATGTAGATTAGACTGAAAGACTAAGACGGCCAGGTGCGTGCTGAAACAGATAGTTTTCGCAAACAGAACATATTAACTAATTAGATCTGATGCCCAGCAGGTGTACGCCATTCAGCAATAATTATATTAGTTTATGCAATATATGTTATAATCGTTATACAGGTTTCACATAATCAATAAAGAAGCAAAAACACTGACACAATTATATATTTCGTTGTTTTATATACATATGTTCAAACAAGACGCAACAGACAGTATTACACTACTGTACATTAAAGCATTTTAATATTGTATACATCAATTTCTATATACAGATACATAATGTACACACATAATATACACTAAGACAAACAATGTCATTATTAATGTCTTTATAATACTTCTTCATACTTCTATTAATATAATCAATTAAAGAGAAAAAAACAGTTGTTTGTAAAGTCTGGGCAGTAATGTATATTAAATGTCAAGTATTAAAACGAATTGTGATGATATAATAATTTCTAGAAGAATAAATTATCTTCTAGTATATACATTCCTTTACACTGTTCAATTGTCAATCATTCGTGTATTAACTCTGTCCTTTCACGTTTCACTTTATTTGCCCCAGTTAAAACTTCCTAAAAGACCCCACGTCGACGATATCCTGTGATATAACGGCCAGCTTTAAACGTTTGTCAAAGACATCTTAAAAACACATGTCATCGATGAAATCGAGTGATTTTTCGAACAGGTTCCTTAATACGGAATTTTCACAGAAACTGAATTCACTCTTTTGTATCCCGCGGTTTAAAGAATCCAGAATCTGATGAACATTCGCGTATGGTTATTGTCTCTGAATCGGATGTGACGTCGGTTATAAATACATTATCTAGCACTGGTTTCACAGAAACTGGCGGTGACCAATAGTTTTTCAGTTCCACGGGTTTTTCATCATATTTAGCAAAAGCTTTTTCACTTTGTTCAATTCTATCTGCTAGTTTATCATTAATTTGACTGTTTTCACCATTTGCTTGAACTTTATTGTGTCCGTTTTTCATATAGTTCGTTTTATTTTGTTTTTTACGAATTTCTTTTGGAACTTTGACCTTAAGTTTCGGCCTCTTCTTATCTTTATCCTTTAAGCGCGGTCGCCCAACCGGATTTTTAGGTTTCACTTCACCGGATTTTAGCAATTTTACTTTCGTTTTTCTGGCTTTTTTCAAAGCTGCGTTTTTCTTTGCTGGTGGTACCCAACCTGGAGGTCGCGGATATTTTGGTGGTCTTCCGGGTCCACGTTTTACTGGAACTGGTGGCGGATCTGCGGAAGCTGCTGATGACCCAGGACCGGAATAAGAACACTCTCCTCCATATTTAAAGACACTCTTTTTATCGGAGGATTTTGATGGTCCACTATCGTCGGTATTTTTTCTCTCTTTTGGTGGTCGTCCAACTTTACCAGGTTGGTGTTGTTGGTGTTGGTGTTGTTGGTGGTGGTGGTCGTTACTACTGCTGCTGTTGGTATCAGAAGCAAAGATAGACGTATCCTCATCATCATCGTCATTATTTCCATCACTCTCATCATCACTCAAATCACGTCGACTTTCCTGTAATTAATATAAAGATATATCTTTACCGTGTCTACACATATATCATAAACAATTTATTACATACCCAGTTTCATCGTAGATGAGTACAACAGAATATAACATTGAACTGGTCGGTTGTCATTTCAAGGAAAGTGATTCGGTTGACTTATCTGATGCTCATTTTTGCTATCAGAAAGGGAATTTTGTGCACAAACAGAAGACACCGCGACAGTGTCCGTAGTTGGTCCACTTGGATATGATGAATAGAAAATTTCGAACATTTGATAGGCATCTTTTTAATTCGATTGATTCTAAGTCGGGAGATTATCAACCGCTTATTTGTTTTGTTAAATTAATTTTAAATAATTAATTTGAGTACATTTTAAAGTGGATTAAGCCGTGAAAAAATCGATATCATCCTAAAAATTCAAATGACGGTCGGTTTTTTTTTAGTGTCGTAATTTCCACAATTGCATGGCGCAATCATTTTAAAATATTGTTTAACTAAAGGAGAAGAAGTGGTCTATGTAGCCTGCTACACTTGCCACTTTTACTTTGCCCCTAGGGTGCAAATTGGTTGATATTGCTTAATGGTTGCGAAGAAAACTTCGGCCGTGCAATGTAGAAAATGATGCCTTAAAGTAATATTATTTATATAACTAGCCAAATTAAACAATCCCGCATGAAGTTCCCAAAGGTAATACGTGTATTTAGTCATTCGCTGAAGTGATTTAAATTCAGATAAATTGTTTGTCGCTATTTTATTTCCTAAGAAGGGTGTATAATTCTATTTACAGGGGATTCTCACAAAATCAGAATAATTCTTATTGCAGGTTAAAAAAAACCATCTAAATAACTAAATAGTGCAGCAATTTAACCTAATGGGACTTTCAAAATAGAGCAATTTAGCGTGCACAGATGTGTTATCTTTACTTTACTAAATAATCAAAGGACACCTGCTTCTAAATTTTTATTTTTCTTATATTTTTTTTTACCTTAACTGCTCACCAGAAAAAAAATTCTTGTCTACTTTCCACAGACATGGTTATTTCATGTTCAGTCTAAATGTTACATTATTTCATTTATCACTGATATGGATGATTGTATTTAAAAAAAAAATGCCAAGTTCTACGTAAAATTATCCTACACAAAAGTTTTTGTGTGGAAATTGAAACTAGTTTCCACTGCATATAAAACGACAAAACCCTATTGTTCAAAAGCTTGGAGTTATCTTTCCTACTTCAAAATGAAAGACCCAAAAGTTACGTCTACTGCAACGTTCAAAGAAATCGAGAACATAAAAAAATATTATTAAAAATATAATGTCGAAATAACGGTGTCTCTACGATTTTGCATACTATAGTAAACAGTTAAATATTACCAATACTGTTGTCTTATTCAAATTAGATTTCTATTGCCTGTCGTTTATTTTCTTTCCTAATTTTTGCACTGGGTGATAATCTAACCTATTTTCTATTACAACCCTGTTCTGTCAGTGTCAGTTGTATGTATATCAACCAGCCAGACTATAACCTAAAATGTTAGGGGTGATATCGCAGACAATATAGCACAAACACATAAGACACACTTTGAATTCCCATAATTGACCATGAAACATATACTTATACAGACAATTTAATTGACCTAAAAGTCTAGGTGATTTGAACATCGAATTCAAAGAAAATATGTCAGATATATAATTTAGTACAAAATAACAACAACACAAAAAAAACATCGCAATTGACAATTAATTATTGCATCGAGACTTTAATATTGTGCGTGCTAAAATTAATTTCTATATTTTCATAAATTGTATGTATCAATGATTTTTTTTAATACAATTGAAATCCTATTAGAAATTTTCGTCGATACTATTTTAACGTCGCCTGGTGTATGCGTTAATTTTGAATCATGTTCTTCCAGTCTATAATACCAAATTTTAAGTTTTCTTTAGCAAAACAGTCCTTTTTCAGAAAAATAGTTCCAGTACAAAGAAATATAAGAAAAATTCAAATAAAAGGGTTTGAAATTTTGTTGAATATGATTTCTTTAAACTAGCATCTATAATGGCAGCCATGGGAAGACTGTTGCTTTAAGCCAAAGTATCACGCCAAATAAAGGCAACTAAAGCCGAATCGATGAAGATACGTCATTTTCTTAATGTCGTGTGATGTGATACAATTAACATTTATACACCATGACACACTGAAGACATCCAAGTTAATGATACAAACATGATCAATAGAAGGAAATTTGGTTTATCTTTTTCTTATCTTTGTATTTTATTGTTAATACACATACATGTATATAGACTATAACAAAACATAGTATACTCAAAAGGTCAAGATACACATGTAATCTAGTTAAAAAGGAAGGTCATTTAATATTAAATAATGTGTATAAAGGGTACAAAGTAGTGTAAACTATTATATATATTTCGTACCCCCGCCCCACCCCATCCCGGTCCCAGACCTATAAATATTTTGTTTTATGTCGACTTTGAGCTCTGATAAAGCCACATATATTATTTATCTCTAATTACACTTTAAAGTTTACTTGTATAACTAACTGGGCGACAGTTTATGTATACCTCTTTAATAAGTATACCATAGTTTGTAAGATTTCTAATATATGTCTCCGGATATGGCGACATTTATAAAGTATCACATATTATTCTTTTTCTTTTTTTTAAAAAAAAAACTTTCTAGAATGTCTTCTTAATAACTTGATCTATCGGATTGTGTAGGTTTAATCGAAAAAAATGTGTCTAATGACAAGTTTTAATACATTAGATATTTTCGACCATTTTGATTCCTTGTGGGCGCAATCTCTTATTAATAAGTTCGAAACTCATAAACTGAAGGTTTTCCACTGTCCAAGCCGACGTTGTAATATTGTTATAACCAAAGAGGTTTGTGAGAAAAAAATAACTCGAAAATATTCTTCTTCCAAAATAATATAAAAACGATGAATTAAAGAAAGATTTGGGACTGTTTATTCCCAGGGTCTATGATGCGGTTATCAAAATTAATCAATCTATGTACATTTCATAACGTTGTAATTGTCAATTAAATTCATTATCCATTTCTTTTTTAGACTTTCAACACCTCGGTATAAATCCCCCAGGGAACTTATTACTGTATTATTTTAGTGTAAATTATGCTTTGTTATCTTATTATGGTGCTACACTATGGTTTCATGTTATCTATATCTGTGTATGTAAGTTCTTTGTTGTTAAATATGTTTGTTAAACTGTATGAACCCCCCTTATCATCTTTAACAAGTACTGACTTCACTTTGTACAACATATAATATAGACTTTCCAGTGGAAGTAGACCCCTGTCTACGATATCAGCCATGGTGGAAGTGGACGTAAAACTCTAGGAAAGAAGAAGAAAAGAAGAAGTGGATCATTGTCTACGATATCACCCTTGGTGGAAGTGGACGTTAAACGCTAGGACCGACCGATCCGAAGTGGACGTACTAAATTTCATCGTGCTTGATAACGATAGGAGGATATTTATCGAAACGTCGTGTTTGTGTATAATAAACCAGTGATTGTTGTCCCAAATAACTTTGTTAGTTTTATTTCCATCGCTAAATGCCACTAAAGGATTAAATAACGATCAAGACTAGTTTAATCTCTCAACTAAATATTAATAATGAGATTGAACTACAACTGTAGTGGAAGAGGAGTCTTATTTAGATACTCTGAATAAAAATATTGTTTTAAAACAAATACAGCTGTAATTCTCTTTGTTATTTCTATACTGACATTCTATTGACAATGCCATTTTACAAGGCCAAATTAGTTGTTATCGATTTAAATTGAATTCTAAACAAAATGTATTCAATTACGCAAGAATGTGAACATGTGTTGCATTTACATTGAATTTTCATGAATTCAGTAATTTGTAATGCACTGATCACGATGATCGTTTTTCTATTTGTTTTATATTTGTAATTCTGAAAAAAACCGACATAATTAACGGAGTTTGTTTGGCTTGCTAAATACATAATGTAACCAAATCAATCGTGCAAATAATATCCAATTTGATAAAAGTAATAAAAGAAATAAAATAAAATAAAAACACGGAAAAAATATAAAAACATGTTTTTAATTGAGCACATTAGTCAAAAATATCAAGAAAACAATGGCCTCGTCTTAAATACTAGACAGGGGAAGGGCTATTTTTGTACTTTCTAAAGTGCATAGGATCGGCTGGCTAAAACGGCGGTACTTCGATTTCCTTCGATAGCTAAAGACCCCAGAACACTGGGGAGTTATGGAAATAAAAATATGCCATAAAAAAATTATTTCAAAAATGACCTGGTCAATGTCGAGTGAACGTTCCTAATTTTCTCCTATCTTTAAAGTGCTATTGTTCTATTCTAAGAAGCCACATTCAGTGGCAGTAAGACCTCTGTGTATATCTTAAAACCAATTTCTTATTATTTAACTTGATAAAAAAAGGAATGATATGGGACTTAAAGTGGATTACAGATTAAAACTACAGCTTTACGAAAAAAATAAGAGCGAAGTGCCATTTCAAAGCCCCAAAATCTGCTCAGTTTTATACTACATGTAGTTGCCACAAGGGGACAGAATGAGTTCACAAATGAGTTTGTTTTAATAGATAAGCACCAAATGAGATCATATAAAACTTTCGCATTATTTTATAATATAATAGTATAAGAAATGAAATGGGAGATTGGTGTCCTTTTTTCTATTCCATAATGACACAAGAGATCTTAGATTTTAGCAAACCATTAAAATATTCTAGCTCGAAAATATTTCTTAAAAGTGGGATCAAACATATGGCCCAGAGGGTAAATCACATAAATGATAGAATCCATGGGGATATTTATCAATGAAAATATCCGTACAATGGCTTAAAAGTTTTGGTTTGAATTGTTGCGACAAGAAGCATTATAGAAACAATTTAAAATCAAATTGATCAAACATTAATTGTTATAAGGGGTGTTAATTATGTAGATCATGCGTACTCATTAGCTTCGGTTACTACAAAAAAATAACACTCGTTCTCATTACGGTAGATTTATATAATATAAAACCTAACATTCATTATCATTAGCTTCAGATATTATAAAACAGAACACTCGTTCTCATTAGATTTAGTTATATAAAACCTAATACTCATTCTCATTAAATTCGGTTATTATAAAGCCTAACAATCGTTCTCATTAGCTTCAGTTATTATAAAACCCAACACTTATTCTCGTTAGATTCAGTTATTATAAAACCTAACAATGGTTCTCAAAACGGTAGATTCAGTTATTAGAAGAACTAACACTCGTTCTTATTAGATTCAATTATTATAAAGCCTAACACTCATTGTCGTTAAATTCAGCTATTATAAAACCCAACACTCCTTCTCATTAGATGCAGTTATTATAAAACCTAACAATCGTTCTCATAACGGCAGATTCAGTTATTAATCATTAGATTCATAAAAACCTCACATTCGTTTCCATTAGCTTCGGTTATTACAAAACCTAACACTCAAATCACTTGAAGGATTTTCAGTTTCAAAGCTGATATTGGCAACTGCGAAAAGACACAAATACCGGGTTTCAATTGTCTTCTTACTCAGACACTGGTCACATTTTTAACGCCCTGTGGGTTGAGGAGGACGCCTACGAAATTCTACGAGATCAAATAAAATCTTGAGATCAATATGGCTCAACGAAGAGCGCGCCCCACTGCCTTTGACCATTCGTCCATCTTTTGCATAATATACCAACTTTCGGTTATCTACATAATTGCGACATTTAAGAAACTAAATATACTTGATCGACTGTGTTTAATTAAAAGTGAACTTACATAATATATTTATTTTTATATGTCTATATAATATATAGAACCTCAAATAACGCATTTATGCTGGCTGCCGCTTTATTAGTCCTTTTATTAATCACCCATTATCTTTCGAAATACCATTTACAATGGAGATGAGCCTAACTATAGTATAGTGAGATTAAGCTGACATGCCCCCATTACACTGAAAACCTAATTACCACCAAGCGGATCATTATGATAAACACGTAGTTTATGACGTATATTTGTATGATCTAATTATTGGACATCACATAAAACTTAATTACGCAACCGCCAAGTTCTATATTTAATATTTATTCTAGATACCTTTTTTCATAAATACAAAAAGAAAAGCAGTTCTTATATATCATATAAATATGAAAAATTAATCTTACGAATATGTAGTATTAATTAATCTCACATCTTAAACTATTTTTAAAATTAGTATTAGAGAGAGAGCTAAAGACGTAACATTTAAATGACCTAAAATAATATATTGACATGTTTGCCTAAACTATAATAAAACGATATGAAATGTTACAGTACTGCGGTACTTCTACTTTTTATCTTTATCCAGGTGTACATTATGAAAGGGAAATGCATACATTATATTCAAGAAACCCAATAATGTATTTATCAGCCTAATCCAGAACTATTAATAATGAGAACTTTCAGTATTGGATAATTAGACATAATGAATAATCATATTACAGCATTTTAGATGTGGATCTACATGTATATGTACATTATAATATATACATTACTGTGAAATATAAATATTTATATATTTATAGGTAACACAAACTTACCACAAGTAATTTACAACATAGTATAAAGACGACAAAATATAACCATGCAATAACATGTGACACACACTAAAAATCATATCGTTTAAAATGTTATTAATTTTTGTCTAGTAATTGAATAAAATGCAGAATAGAAGTATATGCATATTCTAAAATAAATTATTATTTGAAATAAAGTAGATGGAAATATAATTTTTGAATAGGCTTACATGAACTGTATTCATATTATATTAACACGTACTCTATGATATTATAAAATAATAACAAAAAAAGAGTATCTGAAAAATATATATAAAAAAACTTACTTGTAGTTTAAGTTTCTTTGGCTTTGGACCCCTCTTATGACACCTTCCATCATTTTCTTTTAAGCTAACAAATAAATGGAAATAAATGAAATATATTTTATCTAAGTATCTAGCGAGCTAATAAATTAAATTTACTGAAATATCTCGAGACACAAAATAAGAGTCGCGGCCATGACAGCTGTATAGAAAATATAGTGAGTACTCACCTCGACTTAAAAGCTTGTATTAATCGCTGATCAAGGATATTTTCCTCTGGCTCCCATGTATTAAATCTGTAGGAAAGATAACATATTGTAAATGTTGGGCTATTTTAAACATATATTATCGCGTTGAAACGTGTTACATTATCAACAAGCAAAGATTTACACTTACTTTGTCGACCAACCTTTCCACTTGATGTAAAATTCTGTTCGGCCCTGCAAAACAAGCGAACATGTCGTTAGTATAGGTCACACAAAACGATCTCATCGGGGCTAAATCTTATCGAGTTCTACCTACCCTCAATGTCCTCTTTTTCTCGATACGTTCAGCAGCAAATACTCGTTCCCCCATATTTTGTAACTCCATTCCTTTGTAAGAAAACAATGTATATTTTGGCCGTTGTTTACGGTTTCACAAGCCCTGCTGGTCGAGCATCGTTACATCCCATAATACTCAGCGCGTGACGTCATTTTCTCAGTTTTCTGTTTGGGTTTAACTCGCCCTTGCGTTAACAATACATCGCGTGGGGTGAAACCAGTCACACTGATGTTTAACTGTTTAGAGGCACAAATGCTGATTTAATAGCCTGACCGCCCTGACGTATTTATTAGAATCACCGTTCAATATTTTACATTTTAAATATAGCGCAAGGACACATTCTTCTTTAATCCACAATATTATTTCGTGAGATAGAGATTTGATTCTTCCATGGATCTAGTGAAAGATTCTACGTAGTTAAAATTCTGTAACATGCAACACAAATCCCAATGAGGGATAAGTACACGACTTTTAAAATGGGGGCATCTAATTTAATGAAGTAAAAAATATGTAAAATACAGGAAAGAAATTAAATCCATGAGGGGAAATGTATGAATTATTTTAATCAAGTTTTCAAAGATATGTGTACGCTTTAAAAATGTATTTTTTTATAATTTTAAAAAAGGCATAGTTGTGAAGTATTTAAGACGTTAAATTTCTTTGTAAGAATAAATGTGGGACATTTTTGTGCACTTGGTTCAGGAATTTAAACAATTTGAAACTGTGCCAGATATGTAAATAATTTAATCTCGTTTAACAAATATTGTTTTGATGCATGTAAACAATGTAACAACAGTATTGTATTTAATTAATGTAAACAAATTATATAAGTAAATTACAGAACAGTCTTATCTGTTTGCTGGAATTCCATTTATATTTTTTATGTCTTACTGAAGTCCAGTCTATACTTGTGTTTTAATGTGCACACCAATTAATAATAAGAGATTTATACTTAGTTCTGTACAAAACATAGTAGTTGGGTAAACATTGTCTTATTGCTGAAGGACTGACACAGTTTAATACATATTTTAACTACGCATTGTAATATTTATTTGCGAATTTATTAAATTAGACAAAACTTATATTGAATGTGCCTTTGTAGCCTATAGTTTATAATACACAGGTTATATGAACATTTAACAAAATTATATTTAAGTTAAATAAATCAGAGGCAATTCATATTGTTTGAAACTGCGGAGCTGCTAAATACGATTTGAAATGCATTGAAATAATAATGTTTGAAATATTTACATTTACATTATATTGTACACACGGAAGCCCACAAAACCCTTTGTTATCGAAATTAATATGGTTCATACATGGCCATGTAGTTCTTCCAATAAATCAAATTTGAACATAAATTACAATATTTTATATGATTCTATATATTGCCTGTTCTTTATATTCCCGACTACCCTTAAAGTTTGGTAATTTTCATATAACACAAAATATTTGATATATAAAAATCAGGATATACAACGGATGATTTTTTTTCACTGGATTAAATTACAGAGATTATTTGTCATTTAATAGACCGAACCTTCTGTGTCCAAGATTGGATGTTCACTGTTATCATAATGTGGCTAGCGTTACCCCCATAGCCTTAGAACCAATTTGTAGTTATATTTATTGATATTTTAATATGAGGAATATACATTTGGCTGAATTAAAACTTTACATATATGTAGATTTTTTGTCTCTTTACTGGGAAAAGTTAGAGGCCCTGGGAAAAGCAATATTAGTGTAATTAAAATTGGATCTTACATTCATTTCTTTTTTATGCTTTTTTTAAAAATATTCTTTATATATGAAGTTTCCGTTCAACTGACCTGGCGTGATAATTTGAGGAATGACTTAAATCGATCAGGGTAGGACTCGTAGGTACTATTTTATCAGTGAAGAAGGTTAAGATTTGGAAATTGAAATACGCTAAGATGTTGGGGCTGTTTTCATTTATACCGTTGATGTTGCTTTGCCATATATTGCAATGGCATAGACACTTAAGACTTTACGGTCATTTTGTTAGTAGATGTTCATCTTGCGATGATATTAGCACTATGGGATTTATTATATTTTTTTAACGTTTATTTTATTTAATGTTCATATTGCTTAATCACTCCAACACTCGGACGCCTTCTATTCATTTGTATCTGAATTCAGAAATATTTCAGATTGCGATGACATCAATTTCAGCGATATTGTTGTTCGATACTTCCAAGTAGAGCGAGGCGAGGCATTTTTAAATATAATTTATCATGATTTCTGTGAGGATTAGGTTTAACACCAATGTTTGGGACATGTTCTAATTTTCCATTTGTATTTAAATTCACAAACATTTGTTCAGCATGCAATTAAATAATGTAGATTTCAGTGTCGATCAATGCGATGCAGTATTCTTTTTACGAGTATTTCATTGTGCATATTTTCCGAATTGTTATTAACAGGTACCCAACTAGATTTTATTCATCAACCTATTTACAAACTCTTACATACTCTGCTTCCAACTAACTTTTGGGCACAGCTTGGGGAGAGAATCACGTTGAAACAAATATAATAAAAATGACCGATAGATGTCAAAGTCAGTGATTTTAGTTAATACGCTGGGAACAATTATTTCCAAAATCGCCATTCTATTGACTGGGATTGTCATTTATACATACATAGCATAGGGGACTATGTGTTCAGACTATGTGTTCAGGGTTAGAAACGAACGTTACGCATATCTTTATCTTGAAAAGAAAATGTCGAGAAAAGTGGGAGATGCCTCCGTCCCCTGTCCTTACGATTATGACTGCATCAGTAGAACAGAGAATGAATGCTGAAGTAGTAGCATTCTTATGTAGTGACAAAATCTAAACTGCTACTAAATACAGGTATCATTCCAATAACATTAGAAGTAATAATAGAAGTAAAGGACTGGGGGGGGGGAGACGTTTCGGTCCAGGTCTTTTTTTAAAATCACTCAAGATGGATATAGTTGGCATTCTGGATAAGGACATGGAATGAATTGGTTTAACATTCTTGGGAAATCTTTATTTAGCACTGAAATGTTATCTAAATTATTAATTAGACATTAATTAACTTATCCAGACCATGTTCTACTCTCGATGACATCGCTAGCCTGCGATATTTAGCAGATTGGAATACATTTTTTGAAAGATAATTAAATCGATAAATGGATTCTTTTTTATCGTACCGACTTTAGTAATGATGATCGAGGCTGGCCTAAAATTCAAAACCTAATATCTCGGTTCAGAGATATGCCCCTTTAAATTTCGAATTGGCGATTCAAGCTGAGATCAAACCCAACACGCCCTAGTTGCGGTCTCCTAATCGAAATAGTACCGGTACCTCAGCTCATTCGGTGTCAGCCAAGGTTATATTTTAAACTTTTGAAAAACAAAAATCATTTAAATTATGAATTGCTTTTATATGTTCAATATGATGTAGAATTCATTTTACTGATCCATCAAAAGTTTATACCGGTGAATCACGACTATTTTCCCCATAATAAAAAAATAGGAAAAATTGAACAATGCATACTTGATTATATGCGTTGTTGTAAAATAACATCCTGAATTTTTGTTTTACAAACCCCCGTATTCATACGCCCAGTCGGTGCAGAAAAGTAGGACGCCAAACCCCATTTAATATCTTATTGTACAACCAATCCTGGAAATATATAAAATGTATTATTGTACTTCATTAGATTTTAAGAGATCAATCCCTACCCACACCAGCGTCTTCCACAAGCGTACGGTATAATATGGTCAGTTAGAATTCTAAGTTTAAAAATGAATTATCACAACTTTAAATATATATATGTATGTAAATTTAATTAATTTCTTATTGGATTAAACTGTATTTCAAATGTATAAAAACAACACTGTTTTAAAGAGGAGATGATGACCGTTCTTGATATTATAATATAGTTCAAATTTAAATATTGAAAAATGCATTAATATCGAAAATTTCAGTCAAATGTCTGAGCGGAGTTATGAATTGGGGATGCAATTAAATTTGTATTAATATAAATTCAATTAAAACTTTTAGTACATAAGAATAGAAAGGTGTATATAGCATAGCGCTATTGTCGGACCATTTATCGGTAGTCCCCGTGAGCGGACATTGTCTAATCCACTCGATATCTAAGCCATACGATGCCCCAGAGAGTTGATTATTGGTTTGAAATGTGAATAAAATGTCCAAATAATGATTTGTATAACATTTTGAGCCCGACAGACGCAAGACAGTAGGCAAATTTAAACGCATACAAAATCCTTGCAACATACCTGGGGAAAAGACACATTAACTAAACATATATTGCAAACAATAAAGAACAAAAGAATATATCGAATCACATGATTGTGCAGTAATTACGCAAATCTCAGTTAAATTAAAACATGGCAAATGATAACACACTTATTATTATTTGTCTAGGAGAGATAAAATAAAAAGTTCTGTTCTGCACAAACCGGGCCAATGAAGACGGACGTACGTCATGTAGTATGAGGGATCATTTTCCCGGACATCCGAGCGCCTAGACATTGTTCATTGCCAGACCCTCCGTCCTGCACCACTGGCAAGCTGGAAAATCTGTAGGAGAGATATTGATGGTGGGAGAGAACCCACAGAAACCAATTTAAGACCAAAACAAAATAACTGTGTTTACGATTACCCGACTGACACTCTTTTTTCTTAGTCCAAATAGTCGACCCATAACTTTTCTTTCGCACTTCCCAAGTCCTATAAATCGGTCTTGGCATGGTTTTCTGTAATAAATAATATTCACTCCATCGTATTTAAAATGACATCACAAAGGTTTTCGAATGCAAGTGTCGATGTAGGCTGTTCGCGAACCCCGCGAAAAAAAGGGGAAAAAAAGGGAATTTCGACAGACCGACCGACCATATTTTTTTGTGGCCAAGTCAGTGCAGACAAGTAAGACGTTAAACCACTTTCCATTAATATTTTTTTCCTTTTTTATTATTTATTTATTTATTTATTTATTTATTTTTTTTTTTTGGCCTAAACTTAAAATCACCGAATTTTAAAGGAGAAATCCTAAATAATTTTTAATGAATAAATGGGCCTTTCATGTTAATCTTGGCTTTCCTTACCTCTTGGAAAAGCTTACAAATGGTG